TGTATATGTTTACCAGTTACGTCATGTGTATGTGCCACGGCCATTGAGTATACGAGCGACGGAACGTGACCGACTCAGAGTACGAGCATTGTAAAGGACAACTGTTATCCTTAGCATATTTACGAATTTCCCCTCGCTAACGGGACAGTAAAAAACTCTTTAAATTTTACCATGTTATACCTCTTCAAAAAACATCTTTACATTAAAAAGTTTTATGTTTTTGTACACGTATTTCCACATTGACATCCCAATGTTAAGCTGGCTAGGTGCTCAGTTTTAACGGACGTAGGTAAATAAAGTGTGTAACGGGTTTTAGAATGATACATTTTTTGTCTCTACTTTTGTTCTTCTCAATAAAATATATAAATAATTATTCTCTTTCAATGTAAAATAAAGGTACTTGGGAGCTTGATTGCAGTTAATATTTAATACGCTTTATATTTACGTTTAATATTAATTCTTATCCTTGTATTCCTAATTGTATGTAAATTTTACTTATTCCGGACAAAAAGTATAGTACCGCGTTAACGTCCATTTTTATGATTATTACATCGTTGAAAACAACAATAAAAATACAGAATACACGTGCAAACATATACGATGTAAATATAAATATCTCGCAGTACTCTTCAATTGTTCTTAGTTCGTTTTTTGTTTATGTTTTAATTTTTAAAACCTTCAGTTAATAACTTGTAGTTAAAACTAAAGGTGTGTAAATGGCATTAGATTTTTAAAATCCTGTTCCAAATGTTTGATTAAAATTATCATATTTTTTTTCTGTCTATAGTCGATTGTGGCATGTTATGCAATATCGTTTATCAGTTGTTAATGCTAATAATGTGCGGTCAATAACACTATAGATATATTGCGTTGATTGGCCAGTATAAAATGCGACTACTTTCCCTTGCTAGTAGCTTGTTTGTCTACTTGTGATATAAAAGAAAGCTCTGAAAGAGGGGCGTATAGGACGAAATCGACGAGACGTGGGGACCGAGTCGAATGGGCGCAGTAGGCGTTTTCATGCACCATAAAGTTGCAGTCACACTCGACTTGTGTTTGTGATGAAATATTTTTTTAATATACAAGCAAATATTTCGTTTAAAACGTGATAAAATTGATCCGATGTATGATTTTTGAAAATATTTATGACCGTATATTAAAAAAAATGTATTATTCGTCTAAATATGATGATTTTATTAACTCAAAATGATAGTAGAATTTGGATTTTTATGTGCGGTAAAATAAAGATTAGTAATATTACTAAATTTGTTGTCTTTATCTCTTTTATTCAATACTTTGAGTGAGTGTTTCAGTATTGCTCATAGATCAGATATGCATCATATTGATTAAGTTCGTTCAGAAAAATCTAGAATAAAGTTCAATTAGGAGCCACCTTTAGTGCTCAGGTCGCACACTTCAACAATAACTCGTGATGTTCGTCGTAGTACGCTCTGCTTATATAACCCCGTGTTACTCTTTCTTTTATTCCTTTGCAATCTGTGAGCTACCGACTGACAAATATGCTCACTGAATGCGTTTTATTTCAAAGTCTACTGTTCTAACCTCTCACTGTTCTGAAGATTGTATGAATATATAACTAATCTTATTATAATCAAGCTAGTATTATTATAATCAAGCAATCTCCCAGTGTGTATAACAACTTGATTGACTTCCTAATTAACCTTTGTAAAGGTTTCTTATTACTTAGGTAACACGTTACAACAGGTAATATTTTAGATTAGGAGATATCAAGTATCGTTGGTAAGACAAACAAACGAGTAACAATAAATAACCTAGAAAAATAAAGTGTATTCAAGGTCCATTTAATGTCTGCGTCAATATCAGCTGTTTCACGAATTTTTGCGTGTTTTTTTAGCGACCAATAGTTAAATTCGTTTCCTTCTATTTTTCATTATGTTACAAATTTTATTCACACATCTTGATGGTTGGACGTCTTGACTGTCACGACACTAGGAAGAACTATTCATTATTTTCTGTCCGTTAGCACTGTTTTCTCATATTAAATCCTACTTAATATTATAAATGCGAAAGTTTAGATGGATGGACGGATGTTTGTTAGAGTTTGCAGCCTAAACGGCTGAACGTATTTCGATGATGTATGGTTGATTGATGTAGAAGATAATCTGGAAGAATACATGAGATATTCACTTCTGTCTTTTTTTTCAATTCCACGCGGACGGAGTCGCGGGCGAAAGTCTATAATAAAACTATACCTTAGTGTTACACATCTCTGAGTGTGTGGTAAATAAAAAATTTTCGTCGTATTATTACTGTAAACTTGTACGTCATTAACGCGGTGTATTGCATATAGTATTGAGTCACGCACGTTTATGTTATTCAGAACTTTTTATCGTAAGTCTTTGAATTGCAATGTTCGTTCAATGGAATGTAATGAAACGTGATATATGTATGTACTTGAACGATTTTACATTCGACCCACACTCATTTACCAATAATATGTAACTCCTAAAAATGTAAATTTATTTAGGAATCTGGTCATCCAAGTGTTGAAATGGTTAGTGTGAATTTTATGGTAATTTTATGATAGTGTTTGAAAAAGGCTTAGCGAAAGCGGAGATCACACGCTATGCGTTCAAAAAGACCCATAACATTTTCACATTGTGGGATACAAAGAATTACATTAAATTAATTTTTATTTCATAAGAATGGTAGTTTATATATCACTTGTAGCAACAAGCAATGTTGGTTCCAATGTTTTAATATGCGCCATAAAGGTTACATAGAGTTCAGGGGTCCGTAAATACGGGCCACTTTGTTATTACCAGCAACGAGAAATTAATTTACAACCTGGTTCACCTTTGACGTGGAAGTGTGGGACGTTCGGCGAGTAATTCAAGCTTCCGCTGCGCCCTTGTGCGCGGGGTTTGATCTAATTTATCTTCTAAATTTGTGATCCATTAACGGACCCCCGCGCGATAACGGAGAATCGACGTAACGCGGACGGACGCATACGCACGCACGCCACAACGCTGTTACATCTCGGCCCGATACTACGTATGTGCCAGTATCTAACAGTTTCCTCGAGGAAACGGACGATTTATCGATGCAAATACATTTTATATTTTATAATAAAAATATATACTGTTTTCAAAACAAACCTCCCGTGCCTAGTTTGTCTGTCGGAGAAGTGTTAAAATCAAAAGTGAAGTTGTGACGTTTTTGGCATTGTTTTTAGTTGCAGCGCCTAACATACGGATTTTTGTGACGAAACAATGAATGCAGTGACATAGTTTTTGTTCTATTTTTTACGTCATTCAACCAAGTAAGTGTATACGATAGTTTGAAGTGCGACTTTTTGCAATTATACTTTTAAACGTGATGTTTTGGTTATAATAAATACGACCATCATTGGTGCATCATTAACGGTTCCCTGTAGTGATACCGATTGTTTATGCCGTAATGTCGATAAGTTTAATAACAGTCGAGTTTTGTTTGGCTTTCCACTCAACTAAAAGCAATATCTGTGCGTGTTATGTACATTGAAACATTTTATTTAATTAAATAATGTTTTTTCATTAGATACCAATGATTGCATACTTTTGCTTATCTTCAATCAACAAATTGTTGAGTGACTATTGATAAAAGTTAAGCTCTACTTTAATCCAAAAACTGAATTATTAAACTTTTTTATTTTTAAATTATTTACTAAATGTATTGTACTTAAATTTGTTAAAAAGATGTGGGAATTAGTTTCGTGCGGAATATGTCACGCCTGTCGTGTTTAGGGCCTTGCACTATCGTTAAATTGTATCCGTAGATTACTGATATTTACATACAAATTACCAATTTGTGTTCGACTGAGTCATGAGATACTATGGTAATTAGAATCGATTAATCACGGTGTAGTACAAGGCGGTAACTCGATACGAGATCGAAGGCCGCTCGGGTAGCGGTTAAGGCTCGCGGGTGATAAGTGTGAACGTAATTGATAGGGACAACGTATCGCCATTAGCAGCTGGTGCGGAACGACTTGCATGTTGTACAGTCGAGGGCATTTATTTCCTACCTATTTTGGTGTAGTCACAATGAACACATTTTGTATAGATACAAGTACTGAATTGTAGCTTTTGTGGTCACACTTTTCTGTATGATATTCGACCAAAGTGGAAACTGAATTGAATTCTTTGACTGCACATATTTTTAATATACCGTTTCCAATAAGTAACTGTTACATACACCATTAATCTCGAGAATATTTAGGCTACAATATGTATCAAAGATTTTTTTAGGAAGATATATCAATTTTACAGTTTTAGGTAAAAATGCAACAGTACATCTAATCTATCTCTATCGGGTTCAATATTTCACCGTAAACCGTATTGAATTTACTGTTATTTTAATGTGTATTTGTAATCTTTATTTCAAATACATTGTACATTTGCTGTTTACTGCAACTCAAGGATAGACTGGCTCTGTGACTAATTTTATGTAGACGTAGTATTATAATGGGTTTCCACTGCGGAAACAATTATACTAAAACGTGTTGTCTTTTTCATATTGTCAATAAGAATTGAGACGACAACATATTTTTAAATGATTGGAAACCAACAGTAAAAGGAAACGATAACGAGACATGTTGTTGAAATGTCCCAAAATTAATATCTTATCATTGCAATTTTTTTTGTTATTTGAATAAACAACTTTGAGTGTTTATATGTTATCGAAATTAGTTCGGTATTTTATTTCTATCAAATTACAACATTCCTGATAAAAATTTCAAATGTTATAATGGTAGGCTTCAAATGTTATAAGGCTAATCTCCAAAAATATTCTCAGCTATATTTCCAAGTTCAATTCGAAACGGCGGTCATTCCAGCCGCTGTAATATGCACAGGAATGCTATGACGAATTTTTATCAAAGAATTTCGTGAGCGTAACATACGATCTTTTTAGGCGTTGCAAGGATGTTTAGTTTTTACCGAATACATTTTAAACTGGATACGTATGTTCCATTACAGGTCGAGGCTGGAGATGTATTGCTCAAGGTTAATGGGACTGACGTAAACCGGTTCACGACCAAAGAAGGTAAGGAGCCAGCCAGACGCGTATGCCTCGTCTTCCAACATCCCGAATCTTCAATTAAATTGGTCAATGTTGAACAAACGGACAACATACCCGTAGACAGACTTACTAGTAATGTAACACCAAGTACAATTTAAGAACTAATAAACTGAGGCTAAATTTTATCGACAAACGACTAATGGAAAGATTGGAAAGTCTGAAACATGTCTATAGACTGTAGAATAATCATGTCGGTTTTATTACCTTTTTCGCATACTGGTTAATACATTTATGAATTTTACATGTGTGTTTAAACGTTAATTCGCAAAATTGTAGTCTTTATAAAGTTAGAGACCTGACATAAAAATTACCGAATTAAAAGTGAATGCAAATCTTCTATGGTTTGGTTTTGTACACGCAGTAAGACATCAATTGTCCGTGTTTGAGGTTTTATACTTCATACCGCTAATTCAATGATCGTGCTATTACAGTCGTGTGAAACACGCGAGCAAGTAATTTACGTTTCACGCGTGCTTTTGCATTGATTTACTAAATGTGTCGATATCTTTATATTTTTAGGTTAAAACTTTGCCACAGTTGATAGCCCACTCTTGGTAATTTTTAAATTACTTAGTAGATGAAGCTTTATTTAAAAAAAATATATTGTGATAATGAAATACCGAATCTGGTTTTCAAAACTATTTCTCAGAAATGGTCGAAATTGTTTCGATACAACTTAGATCTTAAAACGATAAAGCGTGTCCACAAATTTGTTGCTTGCGCAGTCGAGTGATGACATTCTATAGTTTCTTTTACAATCAGATTTTTAATCAAACAATACCCCTTTGTAATTTTGTAAAATTACCTAAGCGATAACATAAATATCAAAAGCACAATCAAGTTAATTATTGCTATTTATTGGCGGAATAATATAGAGTTACAAAGAGTTAGATAAGACCTATTGGTATGAATTTCCTTATTTGTTAACTCTCGCTGGCTAGGTAATGTTAGAAGTGAATCAGCTGAGTAAATTATGCATGCTCGTGATAATAACGAATGTTGCACGATCTCTTTTACAATTCTAATGAACATGTTAACTCAAAGAAAATAAATTAGAGCAATTTCAAATTTATTATCATAGTTGGTTTTAATCAATAACGTTTTTATGAAGATGAAACGAAGTGGTACTTTTAGAAATAGATTACAAAAAAATTATACTTTGATTGTTTTTGGCAGCAACGAACTTTAACAATCAAAAAGTCGACCTGAATATACTCTGTACAGTGTCCTGTTTTCAACTATAAAAACTTAAACGGGATACAAAGAACTCTTCGCATTAAGATACGATATGAATCTATGAATTAACCCTTATATAGTAGGTATGCTATGTACCATTAAGCATTAAAAAAACATTTCTGTACATTACAGGTTATACGCTATTCTTATATAACTCTCGCTTTTCCCACGTGCATTACGCGAACGCATTCAATTTGTTTCAATGACTTAATTTGCCTTAATATTTTGTTATACCGTTATATTTTGTTTCAGTTTTAAAATGTTTGCGACTTTCGTCCGATCCCGTCACTTTAAGACTGAAAAAGGGTGAGTCTCGCTCTATTCCATTTAATGTTTAAGTTATCAGTATGCTTGGAGAATGAACAACGAGCGAGCCGGCCTTAAGTAATAAAACTCGAATTCCCAAATGATTCTGTCGCGTCTGTTCAGTTGCTCCGTACAACTAGTTATTTTCCAGACATATAAATCAATCTATTTTGATTAAACAATATAGAACACTATTGTGTTTTTCCTTTTTGATGTTTTAGTATTATATTGATAGAGTACGGGAGAGGGAAACGAGCGCTTCTTACTTGGAAACTGACGGTTGGAGCTGGCGCGATGCTAGCCGCTAACGGCGGTCTACCATAATATCATTACGTCAACTTGAAAGCTTCTCAAGCCCGAATTTCCAATGCCATAACAAAGTTACCGAATTTTCACAAAAAAATTCTTGCTTAAATCATTTGTTTTGGCACTTAGTTAAAGAACTAACTGCTGCAAGTGCTTAGTGTATGCTAAATATAGTTGTTTTATGTTAAAAGACTTTGTTAGTAATCATTTAATGATGAATTTTAAAGTAAATAGATATCTGGATATAGGCACTTTAGAATAATAATAAAAAAAACTTGTAACAGACTTCGTCCGATAAGAAAAAACAATGAATTTATATATAGCACTTATCATATATCTCTTAAAGTTATTTATCTAAAACTTGGTAATTCCAACAATAGAATATTTGACTTCCATTGTTGACGGAGATAAAGTCAAGTGGATATATCCTGTACACAACAAACTATACGTATCTTGAACAATGTAAATATATGACTCATACATCTCAATCAAGGATCAGTTCAACAATGATTCAATTTTACTACTATTGTGCAGTTAGTATACAGATGTTTGAATATACTCGATTTTATCACAATACTAGCTGTTGCTCGCAATTTCGCCCGTGTGGAATTAAAAAAACAATAGAAAACTTAGCCTATGTTACTCACTCATAAAGTAGTTTTTTAATGGTGAAAAATTTAGAAATCGGCGCAGTAGTTTTGAGTTATTTCAATACATACAAAAATCCAAATCTTTACTTTATTATTGGTATAGATTTTGAGGTAATTGTAGTAATAAATCTTGTGTAAATAGTGTGTGTGGTAAATCCTTCAATGGTGTTTATTCATATTATTGTATATGTTATAGTGGATTGTATATATCTGTGGTATTTTCAGACCCGGAGATCAAGGCGAATGTAAGACGTTACATATCGGCAGCGGGTGAGCGACGGGCAGCCGCGGCGCGCACAAAACGCGACAAGTAAGCACAAACAAGGTCTTTATATCAATAGTGTTTAATTTAAAATATAATAAAACTGGATTTTCTCTTTGTAATATCAAAAGAAAAGGTTCAGATTTCGGGAAGATGTATTTTCGTAGTTAGCTACTATAATTACTAAATATTAGTATTGCATTTAATTTTTTCCTCTGGCTGTGTCTGTCCTTAAGCCGCGTTTATTTCGGGTAATCTCCGAAACGGTTTGGCCGATTTCGGCCGGACTTTCACTGAAGGGTAGCTTACGATGGCGGGCATATAATAGGTTACTTTTTATCTTAATATCGCATGGCCGAAGTCGCGGTTCACAACTATAAACATATTAAATTCTTGTACATTAGGTTATAATACTTTCTAGTAAAAGTTTTTGGTCAACACACTAGGAAAGTGACTTTATCCCTCTAGTAGTCTTTTGATACGACTTGATCTCTACGATGTATGTAAGTACAAGCTTTCGCCCGCGACTCCGTCCGCGTGAAATTAAAAAAAAAGTGAATAGGCTATGTGTTCTTCCAGACTATCCTCTACATCTATGCCAAATTTCATCGAAATCTGTTCAACCGTTTAGGCAACAAATTCTAACAAACATCCATCCATCCATCCATCCATCTAAACTTTTACATTTATAATATTAGTAATATTATTAACATAGATCACGAAAGGATAAAATAATAAGCAATATTGATACTTAATACTCACATTAAAAGAGCCGGTGAATAAACTCTATGTACGTGAATTTTGTTTTATTATTTGCTTTTAATTTTTCGTATATCGTTCAACTTTTTGTGAGCCATCGATCCAGCTACGGAGCATTTTAAATTAATTCTGTGTGTACAAGCCGTAAATTGATGTTGGCTTTCGATGCATTTATTAACGCAAAACCTCTCTATATATCGTTTAATATTTTTTGTAATACATTTCATTCACAATAGCTAGTAATATATATTAATAGCTACTAATAAAAACTCTTAACATAACCATCAACAAAGTTGTAACATTTTTTTTAAATACACTTTTAAAAAGCTTTAATGGGCACGTCTTTGGCATTTCTATTTTCGTCTACGTTCTATTTTTAGCATCCCATCGTTTGTAACGGAAAGTCAGCCCTCGAGACAGGCGATATCCGAAAGCGATAAGTGATAGCCGGAACCATATGCGCGGTAGACAGGGGTGGCTACCCTCCGACCACACGTCACAACATGGGGACGACATGTGACGCACCTAAACTACGTTCGTGGTGGACAGGGCACGTGTCAGCCGTTTTTTAAAAATGAATTAAAAACATATGATTCATTTTGTGTTTTTACAAACATGAAGTGTATATCAAGATTTTTTTCTTATGCAGTCATCCTTTAATTGTTCTTAGAAGTTAAACTAGTTATAGTTT